GCGGGTCGGATTTGAGTGACCCGCATTTTTCGATCTTTTCGGCCGCCGTCTTGGACTTTGGCCTCCAAACTTTGTGCAGTTTTGGTGGCTTCTTTTCCACTTCTTCCCTCTGTATTGGCGGGTCGGATTGAAGTGACCTGCAAATTAGCGGGTCGGATTGAAGTGACCCGCGATTCTCGATCTTTTCGGCTGCCGTTTTGGATTTTGGCCTCTAAGTTTGATGCAGTCTTGGTTGTTTCTTAGCTATGTCCTTCTTCTGCATCTTTTGTGCTTTTTGCACAAGAATTCGCGTGCGCGCAAGCGCGCAGCGCTTTTGAATTCGCTCCTCCAGAGTTGAACGGATCTTTTTGATTTGGATCCATTCATTTGTTATTGATTTGGAGGGGAGGACATCTGTCCGCTGTTGGGGTGCTTGGCGTTGCCTAATTTTCAGATCCGCCTCATAACGAATCCCGTCAATTGACTCCAAGGCTCTAGCGAGTTGGCGTGCACAGCGTTGGCGCTGCCTTTGACGAGTTCTCTTTGATAAAATAGGCGCGCCTTCTGTACTCAACTCCTTGATTGAGGAGGAGTTCAGATCTGCAGATCCGGACTCATTGGAGGCCGGAAGGGCGTTGCAAGGTTCAGCTACCGCAACAACGGGGGCGTTGATCTTCCTTCGCTTGCGAGAGGCGGAGGATCTGGAGGAGGAGGACGACAGATATTCCTCGAACTTCAGTTGGTCGAAGCTCTGGCAGCGAAGCTGGTGGCTCCCACTGTGGTCGCCCGTTTGTTTGCGTCGAAAATTATTGTATTCATTGTGATCGAATCTATTACAACTTTAGTCATTACAATAAACTCGAATAAAATAAAAAAAGTTGATCTTTTTATAAGATCTCCTTATACAATGAAAATAAAACAAGTTTAAAAAGTTGATCTTTTTATAAGATCTCCTTACACAATGAAAATAAAACAAGTTTACAACTTTATCAAACAAACGCAGGGAGATCGTTTATCGGTCTTCTGCTTGCGTGGGATCTTTGCCTGTGCCGGGGTTTATCCATGGACCGCCTTTGATCTGGATCCGGTTGATGAAAAATTTGGCAGAACTTCGTCTTCACCAATGAAGTATTTGATTTGAAGCGCTGAGATCGACCAAGCAAAATCACAACTCTTCTCGAGATTAGGACCAAGCCTTGATGAAAAATTTGGCAGAGCTTCGCCTTCGCCGAGGAAGTATTTGATTTGAAGCGCTGAAATCGACCAAGCGAAATCAGGGCTCTTCTCGAGATTAAGACCAAGCCTAATCTCAAGGAACGGAGGAAACGGGCTTCGGATCTCTCGAACTCTCCTTCTTTATGCCGAAGAACTTGAGTCATCTCAGGAAGTGGGGATCTATAGCCCATGTTCTCATTCCATGTCAACTTAGAGATAAGTTGGATTTTAAAACAATAAAGTGTAGATTCATAGGGTATTCAGAAAAGTCAAAAGGTTATAAGTTCTACAATAAAGAAAAAGGTGTCATTGAAAGCAGAGATGCTACATTTCTAGAGAATCTAGAGGAAGAGGAACAAGTTCAAGAGGAAACAGAACCTCTAACTGTAATAGATGATGATTATTACAGTGTTGTTCCCACTAATGACCCTGATATTGTGAATGAACCTAACCTTGAAAATGATGAAATACCTATGGAAAATAATGTACCTAATCAACCGGTTGTAGGCAACAAAAGACCAAGAACACAACCTTCATGGATGGATGATTACTATTTGTATTCATGTGAGTCATCCTGTTTTTCGGTAGATACAAATATAGAAGAACAAGATCCCTTAACTTTTTCTGATGCGATGAAATCGCATGAATCAGCTTCATGGCTAGAATCTATGAGAGAAGAACTTGATTCCATAGAAAAGAATAAGGTATGGGAGTTATGTGATCTACCAGAAAATAGGAAAGCCATAGGATGCAAATGGGTGCTCAAAAAGAAATATCGTGTTGATGGATCTATTGATAAATTCAAAGCACGGTTAGTTGCCAAAGGTTATAACCAGAAGGCAGGAATAGATTTTCAGGAGACGTATTCTCCTGTAGCTAAATTTGCATCCATTAGAATTATTTTGGCTATTGTTGCATATCTTGATTTGGAGTTATTCCAAATGGATGTTAAAACTGCATTCCTTAACGGAGAGTTGAAGGAAGCAATATATATGCAACAACCTGAAGGTTTTCAGGTGAAAGAACAGGAACATAAAGTTTACAAATTAATGAAATCTCTATATGGTTTAAAACAGTCTTCTAGACAATGGTATCTCAAATTTCATGATGCAGTTACTAAACTTGGTTTTATTCAAAATAAATTAGATAATTGTGTATATGTCTTGAAAAGTGGGAGCAAGTTTACTATATTATCCTTATATGTGGATGATATATTGCTCGCTGGAAATGACATAGAAATGTTGAATAAAACCAAGGCAGATCTCAGCGAAAAGTTTGAGATGAAAGACATGGGAGATGCATCATATATTCTTGGAATTCAAATAATTCGAGATAGAAAGTCTAGAATGCTAAGTTTAAACCAAGAAAAATATTTAAGATCAGTTCTTAAAAGGTTTGGAATGGAGAATTCCAATCCGGCACCAACTCCGTTGGTTATGGGAAAGAGATTATGTAAAGAGCAAAGCCCTGGAGAGGGGCAGAAGCCATTAGATGTTCCTTATGCTCAAGCAATTGGAAGCTTGATGTATGCAATGTTGTGCACCAGACCTGATATAGCTTATGCTGTGAGTCTAGTCAGTAGATATCAAAGTAATCCAGGACCAGCACATTGGGAAGCTGTTAAAAGGATTATGAAGTATATCAGAGGTACATTGACTCATAGATTAGTTTATCAAGCTGATTCACTTGAACTCCTCGGTTATTCCGATGCTGATTTCGGAGGTGATAAAGATGATGGAAAGTCCACTTCGGGACACTTATTTATCTTTGGAGGAGGAGCTGTTTCTTGGAGTAGCAAGAAACAAGGGTGTGTTGCTAGATATACGCAAGAAGCTGAATATATAGCTTGCAGTATGGCAACTACACATGCTGTTTGGATAAGACGGTTTTTGATTGATCTTGATCTCAATTTGTTAGAAGGACCTATTGATATTTATTGTGATAATCAAGCAGCAATTAGCTTAATCAATAGTGGCGCGAATAGCTCCAAAGGAAAACATATTGAGATCCAGTATCACTATATTCGAGATATTGTAGAAAAGGGAGAAGTCAAAGTGACTTATATCCCTACTACAGATATGATTGCTGATCCTTTGACAAAAGGAATACCAGCGGAATCTTTTATCAAACATGTAAGTTTGATGGGACTTAGGAATAAATAAGTCCAAGTAAAATTTCATGAATAATGAAATAAGAGTTACTCTCTACGGATAGTGGGAGTAATGGTAAGCAGAAACATCCGATCTCACGGATAGTGGGAGGCATGTCACTTGGTTAATTTGGTCAAGTGGGAGATGTTAGCTTGACTTGGTCATTGATGACCAAATCAACCATTGTTTCTCTGTTGAGAGAATGGTGGAGAACGTGAATCATGGGTGGTTGAGAGAAAATCTCTCATGGGGGCGGATCTGAGCGGTAGAGATGATGGGTTAAGCCCCTATATAAGGAGGATCATTCTCCTTGAGAAAATGCACTGAAAACAAAAGCAAAACCACCTACCCATTACCGGAGCCCCTCAGAAATATCAGTTCTTCTTCCTCTTTGCTTATTAGAGTTCAATCAGATACCGACAAATTACCCAAAATCCATAAATAAACTTATCATGAAATAAATATACTCTTAGCTAGTATAATTTATTCCCTCCATTCTCATTTCTTAAATTTAGTTCCTCTAACCATTACACTAAAACTCCGAAGTAATTGTGATGATCAAACATTATAGTTTTATATTAATTCTGCCCCGCAGGTCGAGCGTCATTTTTTATGGGTCGAAACCTGGACTCACGTAGCGATGTCAATTTTTAGAAAATCCGTATTTAATTCGTGGCCGGTGGGATGTGAACCTGAGTTGCTCTGATACCATCTTAAATTTAGTTCCTCTAACCATTACACAAAAACTCTGAAGTTATGGTAAAGATCAATGATTATAGTTTTATATTAATTCTAACATCATTAAAATAACAAAAATTTGGAGCGATGCCAAGGACTTAGCCAACTTAGAGAAAATAGTTTCCCTCATAATATTGATGACATGTCTTCAACTCATCTTTTCGTCACAAATCAAATTTAAGACCCATGATCGTGTAATTATCAAGCTAACCAACATATGATCATCGGTCAATACAGTTATAACCACAATCCAAATTCAACATTGAAATCTACACCTCACTTATAAGCCCAAAAAGCCCGGAGTCTTGCCACTAATTAATCAACACGCAAAAGTAACTGCCAACTAATTTGTACCGCAAATCACGGCTGCTCATTCAGACCAAGAAAGTCTTTAGTTTCTAAAGTTTCCAGCATAATTTGGAAGTGTAACCTCCGCTAGGAAATTAAAGAGTACTGTGCCGTGGAAAAAACTTACAAATCTTTTGAGTGCAAAATCATACTTCCGTAACTTCGCTTCTATAAATTCCCCCCCAAGAAACACTTGCACTAAAAGAATAAGTAGCGAAGTTATACCATACACAGGCCATGGCTACATCCTCCAAATCTAACCCCACATCCTACTTCACCTTCTTCCTTATCCTTTTCTTCTCCTATGCATCATGCGCTCTTGGTAAGTCCTTAACGCCTTGTCTATTAAGTTTAAACGTGGCAGGGGAATAACTCTGAAGTTTCCAATATCCTTCTGTTATGGCTCAAAACACCCTGCTTGCATTCGGAAGTCTGAGAAAATGCATATATTCATATTCATGTTCATGTTCCAACTACCTTTAGTTCTTTCATTTGCAGGTGAGGTCGTGTGTGAGAAGTTAGACCAGAGCACGTGCGCATACTCCGTCTCATCGTCAGGCATGCGTTGCGTGCTCGAAAAGCACGCGCAGAGAGGAGGGCGTGAGAAGCACGTGTGCCGTGCTTCAGAAATCGAAGCAAAGAGATTCAGAGGCTGGATTGAGAAGGATGAGTGCGTTGAAGCTTGTGGGCTCGATCGGACCTCCCTGGGGATCTCATCGGATTCATTGCTGGAGGCTCGATTCACAGAGAAGCTATGCTCTGCTCAGTGTTCAGGAGGGTGTCCTAACATCCTCCATCTCTACTTTAATCTCGCCGCTGCAGAAGGTGCAATCACTTATATCTTCTAAATTAACTATTCTATTAGCACTTGTGTCCCATGAACTCTAATGAAACTATTTCTTTCAACGTCAGGAAGTCACATGGGAATCACGTCACAACAAATTACATGGTTTCTTCAACTTAACTGAAAAACAAACCAAATTAACGCCTAAAATTAATTGGTGCCAAATTTTAAAGATGAAGCCCCCGTCTAAATCTCTATCTTCTAAGTTCTAAAAACGTAAACACTGATAAAATGTTTTAGGTAGATAAAAATAAGTGTTTTTGCACTCTTATAACACGTACGGATCGTGTATACATCCATAATTAAATACCGAGATTTGGAATTGAAATAATTAATATTGTAAGTAATTACATAGTGTTTTTTGTGTGCCTCATATTGTCAATTTTGTTATGGTAACAGGGGTGTTTCTTCCAAAATTATGCGAAGCGCGACAAGCAAATCCTCGACGTGCCATGGCTGAGATTCGAAGCTCCGGCTTAGCTCTTGCCCCCGCGGGACCAACTTCCGGTGAAGTGTTTGTTGCATCTAGCCCTCCAAGTGAACCCCCCATGTAACGCATGATACAAGGAGATACGTCACACGTGTTTTTATAGTTAATTAGCATGAGTTTTCATGGTGTAATATTATGGGCCATGAAGTTGTCATGACTTTATGGGACAACTACTAGGTTTCTAGGTAACATAGACAACTATATGCGTGTACCTTGTCTTCGATGATGTCGAATTTTACTAAAAATAAATGAAGACTCTGAGGTTGTTATATTGTGGGTCAAGATAATGAGCTACTTGCCTCCCAAATTTCTCTTGCATTAAGAATGGCTAGGTTACCTAATTAATTAGTATATTTTGTTGATTCTAAGTATTAGCTTGGTATATTTTTTTACTTTAGTGATGACAAAATATATAAAGCGAGACACAGTGACAATAATATCTATTTTTTAGCCGGAGCAAAATTTCCAATGAAAGCACCTTACATGACCCATCATCATGTGTGTCTTACTTGACTTAATTGGTCTTATGTGGGTTAAGCAGAATCTTTAACTAATCGTTATAAAAGAATCCCAAATTCTTCCCACTACTCTTTTTTCCCTCTATTCTTTATTCATGTGAGGGAAAGAACGATTCTTTTCCATATTGCAGAGGTTCTCTAACCCAATTCCAATTCCATATTGCATAGGTTCTCTAATCCGAGCTAGGAGGGAGAACATCTACAAAAAATAGGCTTTGTTGTCACCTTGTCCCACATTTTATATCTTACCATCACCGAAGTAAGAAAATATATCAATCTAGTAATTTAGCCCATTAAGAGCTACTTTTGATTGCTTGTTATATCACTCAGTAGAGTTACGATGTGGTATCTCATGTCACATGAAATTGTTTAAGAATTAACAATCAACAAAAATTATCCTAGCTAATCTACTATTGATAGTATCTAACATGCAGGAATTATGACTACTCAGATTTAAAATTTGGATATTCCAAATTAAAAATTCAATATCCTTGAATGTGATATAGTACACATGAACTATCTACCAATTACAAAATTGTAAATGGTGTTCTGAATCGTGTGACAAGGGGTAAAAAATTATTTGATTCTGTAAATGTTCTGAAATATTATTTTCCTGATATAAGATGTACATATATAGTTCTTTTTCTTTTTTTTTTGTTGGATATAAAACACATCGAAACCATCAGAGTTTTGGTTTTAGGTAGTTCTTTTGTAGTCTGTCACCTCCAACACATTGGATTTTCAATTTCTAAATTCAAAATTTCACTTTGACTTCTATAGTATTACAACCCGTCAAGCAAGCTCACATTTCACTTTGACTTGTCCAACTGGCCTTTAAAAGGGGCCTACTACCCGTCAAGCTAGCTCACATTTCACGGTGGCCCACCAGAGGTCCAATACGAGTTGAATTTTAGTAATATTGACGAATAGTGTGTTTCTTATAAGTTGCAAGCTACAATAATAAGGACAAATTTTCGATTTAGACCTATTTAGAAATTTAATTTCAAAAATGGAAACCTTTCAACTTTAATTACAAATTTTAATCCAGTTTTAGCCACCTGGCTGAAACTGGGTCGAAATTTGTAAATAAAGTTGAAAAACTTAACGGGATTTAAAATCCTGTGAAGTTTAAGCTACTTATTAAAAAACTCGTTAAGGGAGCCAAATCTTCACAGGATTTGAAATCCCGTGAATCTTAAACTTCACGGGATTTCAAATCCCATGAAGTGCAGGCCAAATTCCAAAGAGCATCGCTCTCTAGCGAGGTGGCCTGCAACTCCACAGGATTTGAAATCCCGTGGAGTTGCAGGTTTGCTCCAAACATGCACAGAATTGGTGCATGTTTCTTATATACATACATAAAATTTCACAACAATATACATAAATTTTTTTACCTCATTCACAACAATATACACAAAATTTTCGCCTCATTCACAACAATATACATGCAATTTCCGCCTCATTCACAATAATATACTTCAAAATCCAACAAAAAATCTAAAATTTGCAGATATATACTGAATTACAACAATATTCATAAAATTCAACCATGAATCAAACAATACACACAAAAATCACATATATAAACAAAATTCGATCCACAAAAGTAACAAATTTGAACAATCTAACCATATATATTCTTGAAATTCATAATCATACTGTAAAATTTCACATACATCCCAAAACGTCCTCCCCTCCTTCATCTCCCTCTCTTACCCTTCCCCTCACTCTTCACCCCACCCTCCCCCTCCGTCCCCGCCCCTCTGTCCATGCTGATGAGCCTCGATAATCTGAGTATTTGGTTGTGTATGAGGCTGAGAAGTGCCGGCTCCATCAGTATATGCGCTGTGTTATGAGAAGTGACGGCTCCATCGTCACGCGATGCCCTTTGACTTGTCCTACGTATTCGCATGTACACTTGACCAAATTAGCGTGACCTGTCCTCACGTCCTTCAAACTCGTCGACATGATTTTTATGGAACACATTTGTTATTCTCTGTCTGATCCTATTGAAGATCCCTAACACTGTTAGATCCTGAATGTCATTGATATGCTCATTTATATCAGCCTCAATCTCATCAAAAGCTTTGATCTGCGATGTAATCAATATATACACAACTTAGCAAATAATATCTTGACTAAAAAAGAATTGTCGTTTTAATTTAGTTTAAAAACTTACATAATCTCTCTTGATCATGGCACTAGGGATGTAACTATCTATCGGTGGGCATGATATGCATCCAGCTACTGGCTGTGGGTCGCATCCTATCCATCTACGTGTGATATTCTAATACCAACGTATATGCGCGGTATAACCATCTGCTGGAATTCTCTCATTCTGTATGAAATTCTATCTATTATTCCACCTGTCTATGTAGGCCGTAGGGAATATGGCCCAGTCCGTACGATGCGATGTCATCCATCGCCTACGATCGATTTGCTCAATAGGATCCGACACATGCGGAGAAAGAAGAAATTATCGTAATACACGATTTGGAACATCATCTCTACAATCTCCCAACATATCAACGGGACTCTGGCTCTCAACAAAGCAGCGCTATCTCTACAGATAGGTACAAGAGTATGCATATAGAGATCTGGCGGAGAATAGAGCATCCATTTGAACTAAAGTTTTAAAAAAACTTTTATCATCATCTACAGAAAAATTAAAATACAATAATGAATTGAGTTTTATATTTACCTGTTGGTGTTGGAGGCCATTAAGTTCATTTTGGTAAAACTCTATATGTTTAGTCGCAGTTTTGTATTTAGAGTGTCTTAGGTATATATTTGGCATAAAGAATATATGAGAACAAATTCAATATGAATAGATCCGCTGGTCTGCTATATTCACCCTAGCCCACAAGCACAAATCTTCGGCGCGGAATATAATCTCAAAGTACCCCAAAGACTCAAATATTGTAAATAAAGAAGGTGGTAAGACCCTTTGCAGGGTTCCCAAACAGCATAGAGCTTGGAAAGCTCGGACCCGGTCAAGATCCGAACAACGACGGAGCACTCAACTACTTATTAAAAAAGTAGTTGTCTTTTTCTATTAGTTTAGTTGCGAAAATTTATGTATAATTATACCTGCAACCCAAAGAAAACTGGCCTTATAGATCACGATGCACATGCAAAGTAGGTCATCTAATATAAATGCGTTCCCATGACCAAACCTACATAAATGTCATGCATCCCTTAAATTCTTTATTCAGCATCAAGGAGACCCTGCCTAGTTCTATATAAAGGTATGCCAAGACCGCACTACCCCATAATATAGTGCCACACACATCAAAATCCTCAAGTAGTAGCAGCCATCATGCATGTACAAGAGTCTTGCTCGCACTAGGAAATAACATACACCCTATTATGTGCAACATATAAGCACGAGCATAATACTGAATCGTCTCATTCGTGGCATCAACCGGTATATCTCCCATAAATGTCGATCGAAGCCACGATAGCTTCATTGCACCACTCCTCAAATCGGGAACCTATCCAAGAAGCCTCTCACATACTTCGGCCTAATTATGGTCATTGGTGGCGTAACAACCGGGTCATCGATGCGGAGCCTAAGTATGATGGCTACGTCCTGAAGTGTAATGGTACACTCCCCTATATGCAAATGAAATGTGTTGATATCCGGTCTCCACCTCTCAATCAGTGCACTGATAAGGGCCCAGTCAAGCCTAATATATCTTACTGATGAACACTCCCAAAATCCGGCCTGAGCTACCAACTATAGTACTCGATTATCCTCCATCTCCCAGCCTGAGTGACTCTGGGAATGGTCCACTATGCTGATTTCTGTTACGGGCTGCATATTAATCAAAATTGATAAAATCTATTAAGAAAAATTGAAACTAGCACAAAAATAAGAAATATATACAACTTTTTTTACCTGTCCCAAGCCAATCTTGTGTGAATGATGATCTGTTAGAAGGTATAACATGTCGGGCTGCATCGGTCCCGGATCCATAATGGATATCTCTGAGATTAAAATACAATATGTTAGATTTTTCAGTTGAATGACTTAGTCATATGTATTTTGATGGCCAAAATTAAGTAAAAAATACATCCAGCATAGTAAAGAAAAATATGAATAGAACATGCATAACAATTGTCACATATTCAAGATTCAAAATAAAATGTTATATATTATAAAAATGATTGTCACATATTCAAGGTTAAAAATAAAAGGTTATATATTATAAAAACCATAAGCGATATATTCCATAAAACTGTCCCGGATAATCAACGCATAAGCCTAGTTGGACAACTGCTTTTGTTGTGACCCGGTTGATCGCACCTACTACACTTATTTTTCCTCCTAATTCCTTCTCAACCATCATCCATATTATTTCTAATTTATACGGAATGAGGTTGCCCAGCTGATCTTTTATACACATGAGGTAATATCTGTGGCCCTCCTTGTGTCCAATGTCGACTATCATATGGTGGACGAAAACTCTTTGTACATTTGTTAATAGTTATAAGTTGAATACCAATCTGTAACGAATGTATAATGTGAAATCCTCTCACCCCTGAAGATCTGAGCAAGCCGCGACAATATGGGAACAAGGAAGTCATTGTAATTGTGGTACATTGCAAGTGCATGTACAAGTTTAATCCACTAGCATATTAACTTTGTAAGAGAGATTTACTCTATGTGATATTCCCTCAATGACCTCCTATTCATTAAAATTATATCTAACGACACGAAATGATAGAGCCTGCATAATCCAATCCACTAATATGCCTTTAACTTTCGGCGTCAACTCTGACGTGATATTTCCTTCAAGTGTGCGCCGTCTGAGGAAGAATTTATTAAGTTTGTAAAATGTTTTTCAACTAATGACTATATTGGCATACCGCGTGCTCCCCTAAGCACACAATTGAAACTCTCAGAAGCGTTAGTGGTCATCATACCAAATCATTTCCCGTCATCTTTACATAAAACCCACCTATCAACATTGTTCGGACCCAAACTAGCCTCGATCCAATCACGTGCAGCTCGTGAAATGGACTTAATCCTCTCCCGTAGTTGCTCATAAACTAATTTTTCCATTGTACATCCAGCTGGCCAAAGAAGATCTTGCAGGCGCACTTATTCATGCTTCCTCTTGAAGTTATCCCTAATATGTCGCAAGCAATATCGATGTTGATGCGGTTATAAAAATGTCGTCGGAGTGCTATTGGAATTTCTTTCATCCTATCAGATATGAATATAATCGACCGCATTCGCACACTAGGGATATGATATCTAATGCATGTAAAAAACCATGCTCAATTTTTCGTGATTTCAATATCAACCACTACAACTATCGAAGGAAATAAATCGCAATCCGCGTCTACTCCGATTGTAACAAGCAAAACGTATTTATATTTACAGTATAAGTGGGTGTCGTTAATGCTAAGAAGAGGACGACAATATCTGAATCCCTCAGTGCAAGGCCCAAATGCCCTAAATACCCCTGTGAATCATCTATCTCAGCCATCAACAGGGTCTGATGATACTTCATACACTATCCCTGAATTTTCTTTTTTGAGTGCTTCGAGATAATGTGGTATGATCTCATAAGATTTTTCCCAATATTTGAATATTTTTATCATCACCTTCCTTTGAGCATTCCAACACTTACTGTATGGTACATCCAAGTTGGTCGTTTTATGCACTAAAATACGAATATCCTTTGGTCTTAGATCAAGATCCTTCCTTAGTTTAGACATAATCAATCGATATATGAAAGAGGCGGACGCGTGTTTATGATTCATCTCTAATCGAGGATTCCTACATGTGTGAAGTCCATTGTAGTGTGTTATTTTAAATTGCCCACCTACTCTTATCACCAAGCGTGAATTAAGCTTCTAAGGATATTTTGCATTGCTGTCATGATGCCCATCACTATCTTCTTCCTTGCCATCTTTACGATAAAACAACTACATTATAGCCTGTTGCATTGCTTTTTGTTTGTCTAAACTTGATATTTTTTGGATGGCCCACAAACGAAGCGTATGAATCAATTTCTCATTGCTTTCAAATAGATCGCCCTTTCTGAATGAGAAGTCCTCGCCTTGTGTATCATCATCTAAATTAGGGCCGATAGAAATACTTTCCATCATGGAGTTATCAATCCATTCTTCTCCATGAAGTTTATCGGGCGGCGGATACTCTAGCATGATAATATATTGGTTGTCCCCTTCATCACGATCTATCAAACATATCATCTTATTGATTTGTAAGTCATCCTCTTCGTCATCATCCTTGGATTCGACACTTGCATTATCATCCTCTATCGCCACTCCTATGGAAGGCATTATATCTTGATGGGGAACGCTATCATCGAAGGCATTTGAAGTGCCCACAAGCGAAGGACCGCTTAAATATTATGATTATGTTCATCCTCTATCTTGTTGTAGAGATAAAAAGCCGACGGAGTCAACTTTAAGGTCCTCCAACATGCGAGAGTATACTCCGTCGTGATTCACCGATTTGCCCAAATTTCTGTGATGCTTTTCAATAAATAATTCTGTTGAACGGTTCTCGTCATGCAATATTCCAATAAGACTCGTATCATAGTCACTTGAGATTTGAATGCCGCTTGTTCTGCTCCCCGTAACAGGATAATTGTAAATAATGTTTGAGGTGATACTCACGTGGATTGGTTAATGTAAGTTTGTATATGTCATTAACCAATTCATCAAAAGTATATCATTTTGATATAAACAACGGCTTCGTCACACCTCCTTCATATACGTGCATATTATTCTCGAGATAGTTAATCTTTCCATCATATGAATAAAGAATTACGATTCGATCGTTCATCGTTACTGTTATGGCGTTTTCAGTCGCCAAAATACGGCCCTTTGCCATCAACGGATAGGTGTCCCCCTACTTGCACCGCTCAAGTCAGATTGACGGTCAAAGCAACTAAGGATCCCGACGTAGCCGACCCGTCGAGTCGACATCTCCCTATGTCGACTTGAATGGCGATATTTGTCGGTTCTCTTGTCGAAGACGACTCTCAACGAGCCCACTCGACCAGTTATTCGACGCCTCGCGAGGTCGACTCGAAAGGTGTTACTTCTCGGCAAAGCTAAAGGACGATTTCAGCCTCGAGCCTCTCCCGCTGACAACACGTCGGCGTCACATTTAATGCTTGGCAGACGCATCATACCTCTAGCCCCGATAGTCTTCATGAGTCATCGGACCACGTCAGCATCGTCATGCCTCCGATCACTTCTCATTTAATACTGAGATGATCTCTCCTCCACTCACCGATCGGCACATGTAAAGTAGGTGCTGACACAGTCGTCAGCCCATACATACTCACCGCCATCCTATGCTCGGCTGAAGTGTCCATTCTACCCTTCCATCTCCACTATAAATAGAGGTACAATTCTTAATATAAAGGGACTTTTGACTTTTGGAAATCTGCTAATAACACTACACTACACACAAGAACTCTCACAGTTCTTTATTTTACCATACTCAAGTTCACCACCTGACTTGATCGTCGGTGATACAACGGGGAACCAATCCTCATCCTCTCACAAATTTCTATTTGTGTAGGCTGAAAGCTACTCTACTCAAGACCATATTTTCGGAGAAGTGAGTGGCCCCTAATCAACCTCAACCCGGTATATTTGACTGTTTGGTTACCCATCATCAACAGTTACCTCTGAAGAGTAAAAAATTCCAATATCAATATTACACGAAAAACACAAAAAATATTATTTACCATTAGATCCTCTAATATCGATTTTAGACATCCATAATTTTAACCAAATGTCAAACCTTTATAATACACTAACTTTTATAATTTTTGATAATTTCCCCACTAACTTCATACACAAATTTCTTTAATTTTTCTTCACAAAATTCATAAATATATTAAAAATTATTTCAAAATCTAAATTTAAACAAGTTATTAGCATGAAATAATGAGAATATGTAAAAAAACTAGGAGAAAAAAATAAAAAAATTTAAAGATTTTACCTAAAATTTGTCGATGCCCTAATTTTCGGTGAACTCCGGCGTTGGCGGCGGATAAGACGACAGCCATTGGACAATATGGCGTGGTGGCGGCGACAGCGGCAGAGTGGGGCGGCGATATAAAGGTATATGGGTTGGTGGTGAAGGAGCAAAAGAGAGAGGGGGGGGGGGGGTCGGTAAACGTGATTTGTTATCGCGTGTGCCATTATATAGGCCCTGCCCCAACTCCACGAGATTTCAAATCTCGTGGAGTTGCAGACTAGCTCGTCAGAGAGGGATGCTCTTTGGAATTTGCCTGCAACTTTATGGGTTATGAAATCCCGTGAAGTTTAACCTTCACGGGATTTTAAATCCCATAAAGATTTGGCCCCTTTAACAAACTTGTTAATAAGTTGCTTAAACTTCACTGGATTTTAAATCCCGTGAAGTTTTTCAACTTTAATTACAAATTTTGAGCCAGTTTCAACCAGGTGGCTGAAACTGTTCAAAATTTATAATTAAAGTTGAAAGGGGTCGATTCGACCTGGCTGAAACTGAGTTAAAATTTGTAATTAAAGTTGAAAGGGGCCGATTTTTCGAATTAAATTTCTAATGGGTCTAAAACGAAAATTTGTCCACAATAATAATCGCGTAAAAAAGAGGCTCTAGGGTTTTTAGCAGGGAAAGAGAAAGAGGGGAAAAATATGTCGAAGAAAAATAATCTAGCGAAGAGGAAAAAGCAGTACGAATTCGAGCTCCAAAGTAACGAAATCTTCGGAGCTCTTTCTGATTTTGTGAAAAATATTGATTTTTTGCGATAATTTATTTAAGTTTCTGTCTGCAGAGGAGAAGGAAGAAAGAGAAAAGAGGGCGAAGAAGCTTCAAGCGAAGAAATCAAAGATGAAGGTGAAATATTCTTCCCGTTTCTATTGCATTGGCTAATCTCGCGGTTCAATTTTTAGTGTGATTGCTTTCATTGGATAAATTAGGGGTTTTTATTGTTTGGTAGAACAAAGACTGACTAACTTCAAATTTTTTGTACTGCTTTTAAATTATTAGCATTGGCAAGTTGACGCCTTTTTTTCTTGCATAACTTTAGTAGAATCACTGCTTATGTTCGTCTTGCTCATTATCTTCCGGTCAGTATTGGCAATAGGGTTATTCTAGCAATAAAACCATTAACCATTGATTCATCGATATATAAGAATTTGTTTACAGTGTCTTCTAAAGGGTGGTAAGGTTAGGGAAGTGACTGCCTGAGTTGATTGCTTAGGCTCTTGAGCGGCAGAGAAGGGGGAACAAAATTTTAATTTTCGGTTTGATTGGGCACTTCATTTTAGATTCATCTCCATCTCCAGCTATTGATCTTAAAAGTGACTGACGAATAGAAATGGCTATAAGAAATGATGTTGCATATGTTTTTCATTGATTTGCAAAATAAACGTGTAATAGGTGTAAGAAGATTAACGTGTGGATTTGAAAAAGAAACAAGTATATTGTTGTCAATTGATGTGATTAAAGATGTATTAAGGAGCGAAAACTGGGGTGTGAACACTGAACAGTTGGAGGGGAGAGAGGCTACTCTATCATTGTAGAATCATTCGCTGTCATGGTGAGGCGCAGACTTACACCAAGGATCAATGTTAGATCTTATCCCCTTGCATCAGTCTGTAGATAGACTGAACTGGGCAATATGTTACCTGGTAATTTCTACCTGAGTGCCGTACCCATACCCATACCTATACCCGAACTTCTTGGGCACTCCTTGCATATATGCATACATTTATTTAGGCATCTAATCAATTACACTATTTGTTTTAATTCAAAAAACTTGACATACATTTTCTAAACATATATCCTACACTTCAAATCCACTTCTTGAAACTCGTTAGACATAGGTCAGGTTCCAGACTATGACTCTAAAGGGTTGTTCGGATGTCTAGTTAAAAAACCTAGCGATTTTCCAATTTATAATCCACATAATAAAATAAACATAAAAATGCTATAGGGATTTTGATTCTCATGACACGTGAATGAAAACAATATTGATCTAATGTAAATTATTAATTCCAATAAATAATATGTATATGTGTATATAAATATTTATATAGCCGTGTCCCCATACCCTACATTTTACAACTTTGTGTGTCCCGTACTTGTAACCATGCAACATAGACTAGGCATCTGATACCTATTATTTGTTAACGGTAGACTATTAATTGAGGAGACTAAAGTAGGTACAGTTTCCAAATCATAAAGCTATGGCAGATCAAAAAATTGTATATTTCAATAGATATAGCAAAATCACAAGGAAGTGAGCCTGCAGCATGGCTGATGGTTGATAAGTATCTACCATGTAGAGGACCAAAGATACACATCAAAAGGGGAATTTGAGGAAAAGCAAGTTTACAGAATCACATCTGGGATAGATTGTGTATATCCCTGTAATTTCTTCTTCATATCTTAAATTTCTTCTAACTGATTGTGTATATCCCCATCAACTTATTGATTCTGCCATATTGTTCTCTCCACCTTAACCTCTTTAAGGTAGTTCTTTTTCATCCATAGCCGTGTGCTTTTCACCTCTAATCAGATTACGAGAAGTTTTTTTGTTTCTTTCATCCCTAACATTTGTCAGTATCTTGTGCTGTGTTTACTTTGATTTGTAAGTGTTGATTGTACTTTTGCTCTGCATTTACCATGACCTGCATATATATAAATATCCAATCGCTACTAAGTTCCTTCTGTTTGTGATCTCAGATTGATGGTAGTGAGAAGAAAAAGAAAAATTCAGGTGGGTTTCAAGTTGGGAAAAGGAAGGTGAAGACTAAACTATCGGCTTTGGCAAAAGCCAAAGCAGCACAAGCAATGGAGGTTGACAACTAGTATCAAGAAACATTGATTAAGTGAATTTCACTTGGCCTCAGCTCTTTTAGCACTGATGTTCGCTTCTCTTGTACGATGCTTTAGAAGAACTTTTCGATTTTTTTGGCGCGGGTGGTTATTGCATTTATACCACTTACTGTTTGCACTATATTCTGATTTAAGCAAATGTGTAAGCTTTTATCAAAGAAACATCATCCTCCTCTAAATCCTGACGTTGTCAGTTTCACAAACCAGTCCTGATTCTTGATTGAATTTGTGGTATTGGGATACAAGTGGTGCGGTTCCAGGCCACCAAATGAAAATATGCTGCTGCTATGGGATGTGACATAATTTTGTTATTAGATATCGAAAAGGATTCAAAAAATGCGGTGTGTGATGCTAGGGAGTACAGATTTGTTGGCCACGGGAAGATGATGATAAATCAACAAAGCAGTGCTTTAGTGTGTTAACTGGTAGCTAATTCCTGGTTGTACAAAAATGACTCAATGAGTTATTAGTAGCTTTAGTTACAGTTTTAATTCTGGAGGGTTAGCCAATTATTATTAGTTATCCCTGAACTATTCTATTAGCATTTGACACGGGTGTGTAGATGGACTTATCTCCTAGTCATTTGTACATGTACTACAAGGTGTATGAAGTACGCGTAGGAGAGAATAAGGGGGGAATACTCCATCTGGACATCAGAGGTGGAAGTGCTAAAAATTTGTGACAGTAATAAGTGGTTAACACCCAGCTTCTCATTGTTGACCGTCTGTAGGAGAATGGGTTATTGGCTTTACTGGAACTAGTATTATACATAGCTTATAGTTTTTTAGTATTTTAGCCTGTTTGAGGCACAGTCACACCTCCTTGTTTCCATGCTCTGCTTTAAAAAAATTAAAAATTAAAAATGAATTTGCCTTTTCCAGTACCCGTCTTGTATTTTTATGAATATCATCTTGATATTATTATAAAGACAAAGCTGAACATTATAAAAAACAAAATCCGTTGAAAATTTAGGTAGGGTGATACAAACTATATTTTAGGAGTTTGTTGATTTTTAAACTATATTGAATGTTCACAACCTAAGGCCTCAAATGTACCCGTATGTACGGTAATGAAATTTACTAAAAGAAAATCAGAATTTCTTAAAGAAAATGAGAATTTATTTACCCCCATTAACAGATTTCAATGCTCATCCATAATATAAAACATATATAACAATTGTGTACTTAAAACAATAAAAAAAGGGACGAACATTAAAAATTTGGCATCAAGAATCAATAGTAGCCAACAACGGAACCCTAGAAAAAGAATTTGGGCATAAAAAATAAAACAAAAAGAGGAATTTGTAGGAAAATAGGAAAGAAGCTCACATTCTGATAAAGAACTATGAATTTTAGGGTTGCATCCAGTGGTGTCGACCAAAGAATGAACTAGAGCGTTGTTTGAAGAATGAAAGCGAGCAATGCATTTGCTCAAGATTCTAAATTTTCTACATAAACTTCATGAACTATTGGAATAATTTATCAAAGAGCAACTAAATCAAGTGAAACTAAAATATAAATTTACATAAAAAATCAATTTTCCTTTACAATAGCATCGACTATATATTTGCATATGAAATCATTAGTAATCAAGACTCAAAATATGACTAAAATAAGCTAAATAATTGGGACTAACCAAAGCATATTATACCATGTGACCGATAATTACTAATACGGGTGTATCTTCTTCCTTGCTTCAGGAGCTTAGCGATCCTCATGGAAGCTTGAGGATAGATGATTCTCATGGTATATTGATAATAGAGACGTGGATGAAGTCGATGCGACAACGTCTAAGAGTACAGGAAAAAAAATGCAGGAAACACTTTGGACTTCCAGCGGTCGACCTTGGCCCGCACGTGACGCTGCTGTCGACCGAGAATGTGCACAGCTCAGGAAAAGTCTCTGGACTTTTCGCGGTCGACCGCAATGAGTTCTGCGGTCGGCTGCTAAATCCTGTAGTTGATACTGAGTTTCTGTCGTTCTGTCCGGTCGATCGCGAGTCGGGCTGGACCAGACTTTCAGTTTCCTATTCGCTTTAGGTTTTATAATTGATATATATTAAAACACGACTTTTCTAGGGTTTTGGAACCAGATTATATTCAGAAACGAAATCAGGTAGATTGTTATTTGATCTAGAGAGATTGTGAGAGAGGGATTTGTAATCTATTATTTCTCATAATCTAGAGAAGGTATTTATTTGATCTAGAGAGATTGTGAGAGAGGGATTTGTAATCTATTATTTCTCATAATCTAGAGAAGGTATTTTCCTTCGCCCAACTGATTGTGAGAGAGGGATTTGTAATCTATTATTTCTCATAATCTAGAGAAGGTATTTTCCTTCGCCCAACTTAATTCTTTGTGTGTTTTCTATTGTCTTCTTCACAACCCACTCTTGATAATTCCACGATCAAGGGTGCTTATCCGGCGACTCGTATCAAGTTGGTATCAGAGCGATTAGATCCTGTGAAGGGGGGATCATGCGTATGGTCCTTACTCGATCGCAATACAAGAAGCTTGGGGAGATCCTGATTTCTTTGGAAGGAGTTCAGAGATTAAGGAAGAAGAAGATGACTAAGGGGATAGTTTAAAGAGACTTGATGCATTGGAGAAACAAATAGAGACAATGAGTTCGACTCTCACACAGCTCGTCAATCTTTTCTAAGGAAATGATAAAATTGAGGAATCTTCTTGGAAAGGCAAGAAGAAACTTGTAGAGTCCGATAGGGAGGGCGAGGAATTTGATTCTGATGGGGAGGCCGAGATTGTCAAGACTAATCCGCATCAAGGGGGTAAGGGTTCTTACCATAATTTGAAAATAGACTTTAAGGTGGAGCTTCCTGTTTATGATGAGAGTGTCAACGTCGAGAGGCTCGACGATTGGATCGAGCGGATAGAGACATATTTTACCCTCTACGGATATTCATCTAAGGAGAAACTCGTGTTCGCGACTTTGAAGCTTTCGGGGTATGCATTGACATGGTGGAAATCCTATTGCAAGCAAGAAAGGATGGAGGTGTCGTGGAACAAGTTCAAGGAACTACTGAGGAAGTAGTTCTACCCGGTAGGGTTCCTCGAGGAGCGTTGGTACAAGTGGCACGGATTGCGCCAAAGGTTCAACCAGACTGTTCAAGAGTATACGACGGAATTCCAGAAGCAGGCGATGGACCTCAACATCGCGACGGAGAAATATTCTATTTTTATGAAGTATATGGCAAGTCTAAATGAATATATCCGAAAGGAGATGAAGCTGTTCACAGTCGAGTCCATTGCAGAGGCGAGTGTGAAGGCCATTGCCACTGAGGGTAGGCAAAAGAAGGGCAACGAGATGAAGGGGGACTCCAAACAAATGGGAGGCAAGTCTAGTGGCTCTCAACCAAAGGAAGAGAAGAAGAAGGGTGATTCAGGGAAGGTAGGATTGACATGTAATCACTGCAAACAAACAGGACACGTAGCTGATCGTTGCTGGGAGAAGTACCCTCATCTAAAGCCAAGGGGTTGAAGAAAAAGGAGGAGAAGAAGGCATACATGGTAGCGTAAGGTCCGAAGGAAGTTCTCGGGATGGCAGAACATAATAGCAGTCTCAACCTTATGATGGGGAAACAGGACACGGCAGAGGACGAAGACCAGAGGGAACAACTCTTTGTTTTGAAGTTACAGGTCAAGACCAGCTTGGTTGATGCCATAGTGGATATAAGGAGCCAGAAGAATTTAATATCCGAAGCCTTCGTTCAGAAGCTGTGATTGAAGACAGTCAAGCATATGAAACCCTATCCTTTGGGGTGGATTCATAAGGAGGGGGGGATTGAGTGTGGTCAATCAGTGTACTTTCAGATTTGCACTTCACGAGTCGTATATTGATGAGGACACATGCGACGTCATTCCGTTAGATGTTTGCCAAGTGATTTTGGGCAATCCTTATTTAGGGAATAAGTACACGATCTACGATAGGTAGCTCCAGAAGTATACGTTTACCAAGGATGGCGAGCTATTCATACTTCGTTCGACATCTCTTTCATAGGAGACGAGTTTGGTGACGGTGACACAAGCGAAGAGGTCAGTGAATAAATTGACTTCTATTTCTTTAATTCCGATTACAACTTGATTACAAAAGAGAAGAGAACGAATTTGATTCTCTCCTTTGTTTAAAACTGGGTTCTTCTCGGTAGCGATGGAATGCCTCCTTCGATTGCTCGCGTCGAATTTGCTCTACGTTGACGATCCGACGTCTTGATTCACTGGAACGATGTCTCCTCCTCACGATTTGACGTTGTGGAGAACTTGCGTGGCAAGTTTTAGAACTCTGGACGAGTTGATAACTCTGAATGAGTTTAATAACTCTGTGAAAGAGTTGATTTGAACGAAAGTTCGATTGATAAGCCAAGGATGAAGAAGCTCTTGTTGCAGATCTCCCAAGCTCCAGAAAATGCTTCAAGGATCTCTTCTGCTGCCAATTCCCAGATCCGAAAAAATGCCCGCTTGAACTCAATTGAGTTTACCCATATTTATAGGGAATTAAGGGGTGTAACCGCCCCCTTAATTCTCTCCATAATGGGGTTGAGAGGGGTGTAACCGCCCCTCCTTAATCTGCTCCCAAGTGGGGCGAAAATCCCTTAGATCATGGAGGGAAAACGGTTCCTGCAACCGTTCAGCTCGTGCTTGAACGAGTCAAACGCCCACGTCGGCGTTCAGAACCCTAACTCCGCGTTTTAGAATGGAGACGCGGAGTTGGGTACTCGCTGGGTGCTAAAAAACACGGGTCTGACCCCAGCATTTTAATGTTGTAACGTGGGTCCGACTCCAGCGTTTTGATGTTGTAACGCGTGTCTGACTCCAGCGTTTTGATGTTGTAACGCGGGTCCGACTCTAGCGTTTTGATGTTGACACGCGGGTCTGACTCCAGCGTTTTGATGTTGTAACGCGGGTCCGACTCCAGCGTTTTGATGTTGACATGCGGGGAGGACCTCCGCGTTTTGGTGTTGATGCACGGGGAGGACCCCAGTGTTTTGGTCATGATACACGGGGAGGACCTCCGCATTTTGGTCTTAGAGTGCGGTGATGAGTTCTGCGTCTTGCTTTGGAGAGATTATCAACAAGTAATCTCTTTTGTCATAGCGTTGCAAAGATCATTGTCTTGTAATCTTCGTCTTGGCTCCTTGAGAATATGAGAGTCGTCAGATTGTAA